CTGACTCATTTCGCTTAGCATGATACTTTCCATATTGTACCACTTGTATGTAAATTTCATGACTTCATCTTTTCTAAGAGCTACATAGTACTCCATTGTGTAGATGTACCAAAGTTTCTTTAACCAGTCATCTGTTCTTGGGCATTCAGGTTTCTTCCAGTTTCTGGCTATTGTAAAGAGGGCTGCAATGAACAAACAAGTGCAGATGTCACTTCGACTATACATTTTTGCCTCTCTGGGATATATTCCCAGGAGTGGTATTGCTGGGTCAAATGGGAGCTCAATTTCTAATTTTTTGAGAATCGTCCATACTGTTTTCCAGAAGGGCTGAACCAGTGGACATTCCCACCAACAGTGAAGGAGTGTCCCTTTCTCGCCACATCCACGCCAGCATCGGTTGCTTTTGTTCTTTTTGATGTGGGCCAGTCTCTGAGGTGTGAGATGGTATCTCATTGTGGTTTTGATCTGCATCTCCCTGATGATTAATGATGTAGAGCATTTTCTCATGTGGAAAACAGGTAAATTCTTTATCTTGGTGGTTATTTGGCTGCATCTCAGCTTGATATGTGTACTCTCAGCTCTTTTACCTCTGGAGATGCCTGAATTGTCTCTTGAACAATCATCTCTCTCTCTCTTTCCCTGCCTCTCTCCCTCACTCCCTCCTCTCCCCGCCCCCCCGTGTGTGAACTCTCTCTCTCTCTCTCTCTCTCTCTCTCTCTCTCTCTCTCTCTCTTCTCACTCACTCACTCTCTCTCTCATAATAAAACTATTTTATTATTCTTTATGAGACTATTTTCTGTGATGGAAGCAAAAATCTAAGCAGTGGTCAGAACGAATTTTCCTTTTCCTACAAAAAGCAATTCCTCATTCTAGAGTCTATGATTCCCTGAGAACTCAGGTGGTGGGTACCAGTTCCCATACTGTGTAGATCTAGTGGACTCAGGCACAGTCTGACAGATGCCCAGTGGGGCCATCAGTGGTCACACTGTTGTGCCCAAGTTTCAGATCCTCAATTGTGGAGAGATCCATTCCACACATGATAATGCAAAAGCAAAGGACCTTTATTACTAGCCCAAGCCAGCGCTAGCCCAAGCTAGGGTCCAAGTCTCATCCAACACAGTGGAGTCCAAATCACAAGCAGTTTATATAGGGTTCAGAGTTAGGAAGCAATTTTTATACTGATCTATTTTTAGCATTGGCCCTATTACAATGTGGTCAGCAATTAGGCAATGGTTAGCAACATTTTCTAAGGAGGGTACGGTGACCCTCCATAACCAGCCAGACCCAACTGCCCAATTCCTTATCTAGACACATTACTCAACTGGTAGTCTACCAGAAACTGCAAGTCCTGCTCCGGGGAAACAGAAACTGAGGCCTAGTTGAGACTTAATATTAACTGCAGGTTTTTATGGCTCCTGAGGAACCTGCTCTTGGGCCTCACATTACCACACCGGTACTTTTAAGAGATAACTAGGCAAAATTTAAATTATAATTTTTCAATTTTATTTGAGTTATCACTTACTAGCCACCACTCTCATGATGCCCACATTGTTCCAGAGTTAGCCAATGGGAGTCTATTCAGACAGGATTTTACATGGTCCTATCATATCCCTATTATTCTTTGAGTGCTTCTTTACTTTCTAGCATAGTAAAATGATCGCAGGCTGAACATTTGCTTTTCTTGCCTTGTTGGTAGAACCAATTATTTTTCTCAAGGTTCCTGGGATTCTTTTTAATCAAAGAACAATATTTAGATGTCAAGGTCTGGGCACTGTGTGTACTCATTATTTGGTTGCCTCTGCTATTAGGTCTTCTCAGTGAACAAAACCAGGAAAAATACACACACAAATACAAGTGTACACAAGTGTACATTTATGTTTCTGTATGACTTTCAAGACAAATAAGTAGCACTAACACAAATTTAACACAAAACAGTTTGTTCTGCTTTTTCCATTTAATTTTTTTCCTTCTTTGGGTTTTGGGGCTACATCCAATCGTGCTCAATGCTTACTCCTGGATCTATATTCACAGGTCTCTTCTGGTGGTTCTCAGGGGATCATATCTGATGCCAGGGATTCAAACTAGGGTTGGCTGCATACAAGTACTCTCTCTTCAGTAAATCAAAATATAAATAATTTAACATTTGTAACTCCCTTTTCTCACCATAAAAACCTGACTCTTTTATCTTTAAGCTGTGATTCTCCCACAAAGCTAGTTGTAGTGCTCTCTGGGGTCACACATCCCAGATTGTAGAGCTTACCTATGCTCCTGTAGTTATGCTGCTTGCACATGTATTTGTCAGGGTCACACTTCCTGGTTTGTACACTCATGCATCTTTTTAAGCTGTGTTGTTTACTGGGGTTGCACATCTTTTTTGTTGGTGCCACCAAGAATGACAGAAAACAGAGTCACCAGGTAATTCTTTTACTATTAAAAGTATTATTATATTGGGTGACAGAGTGATAGTACAGTGAGAGGGCGCTTGCCTTACATATGATCAACCTGGATTCAATCTTAGCATCTCATATGGTCCTCCAAGCCTACCAGGAGTAATTCCTGAGCACAGAGCAAGGAGTAACTCCTGAGAATCACTGGGTGGGTGACCCAGGAAAACAAAACAAAATGAAAAACCAACAAAACACCGTTTATAGTTAAGAGTCTTGTCTACACAAGATTAGTCTATTTTTAAAGGTAAATTCCAGGAAGTGGACTTGCAGAAAGAGGGAGGTTGTGCATTAGTAATGTTTCTACCACCCTTAATTCCTTTAGAGGTTTAATAATACACACAACGGTGCCTTAAAAAAACCAACAACCTCTTAATGGGTGCTTGCCTTACATGAGGTTAGCCAGAGTTAGATCCTCAGGACCCCATATGTCCCCTGACCCCCATCAGGAATGATTCCTGAGTGAAGATCCAGGAGTAAGCCCTGAACACAGCTGATTTTGCCAAACCAAAATCAAAACAAAAGAAAAAACCCTCTTATGAATAGTAAGTCAAGGGTCAAGGAGATAGCTCAAGTGTACTTACCATTTGTGAGACCTTTGAATTTGGTCACATGTAACAAATGGTATCATTCAGCACAGTGGGTGTGACCTGGTGGCTCTCAGCAGTGCCCAAGTACCCAACTGTCCACAGATCATCAGTGGTCAGTCCTGGTGATCATCATGAGGAGTGGCTCTACATTTCCTCTCACAACTCTATTAAAAAAATTACAAGGGCTGGTGAGAGATAGTATAGGGTACAAAACACTTGCTTTGCTTTGGACCAATCCCTGTTTGAATCCCAGCATCACATATGATCCCCTAGCATTGCCAAAATAACCCCTGAGCATAAAGCCAGGAGTAAGCCCTGTGTATCCCTGGGGGCTCAAAACCTAAAAACAAAACTCCCCCGAACCAAAAGAAAAGTAATTTCCATACACAGAGAGATCTAAAATTAGGGGGCATTTCAGAAAAATAAGACGATTCATAGACACTTTTGGAAATACTTTTATTGTTATACAAATAAAATATCCTACCAATTTACTTTCTTGGAGGCAGGGGAAATGAAACAAAAGTAACCATTACTAACACAACTAGTAACAAAAGACAATGACCAGATTGAGTAAAAAGTAACTCCAAGAAACCTCAGAAAGGTAAATTCTGCCCTTATGCTGAAACAGTGTAAAGACTTTGTAATTTACAACCTGAAAAATGAAAGCAAGAGAAAATAAAGCAAAGCTGATGGGGAGAGGAAAGGAAACTTGAGTAGCTGGGCTAGTGATGCTGACACTGATGGTGGGTTTGGAGTGGGAATATTGAATGCTTGAAATTTTGTCATTAAAAGCTTTGTGTATATATGTATATTCTTTCCTGGTTGAATAAAATTTTTACAGCCAGGAAAGAAATTTTCTTGGTCAGATACTTATCAGCAACTTTCCCAGATCATGGTCGGAAGTTCTTTTTACGGTTCAGTGATGGAATGAGAACTCTTCCGTGATGGCCTTGGATAGGACAGAAATTGAATGGGAGTCTGGAATGGGGCAGTTTGCCCAGGCTTTTCCAGGATTTTGCACCAAACGTCCTGCATTCTGGAAACTTCGTCTATCACTAGCAAATAGACGACTATTCCTACCTTAGAACTAGGCTACAGAGAGGAAGAATTTAGATGCTCACTTTCCAACACAGCACCCCTAGTCTGTGGGGGCTATTATATGAAATAAAATCCAAGTCAGCTCTTGGGGCCAGGCAGACAATTCAGAGGACTGAATCACAGGCGAGACTAAGGTTCTATCCTTGGCACCGCAGAGGGTCCTGTGAGAAGAAAACCTTCAGTTCCTCGGTCTCACTAGACTAATATGAAATTTTCCTTCACCCTAAAGTGAAGGCGCTGATGTAGAGGGGTTCGAGGGGGATTTTAAGTTTGGAAGCCGCTGGCCACTAACAACTGCAGTGTTTCCAAACAGGACGAATAAAAATCAGTTTTGCACATACTAAATTAAGAAAACCTGCAAAAAAGGAGCCCAGCAAACAGACTCTCTGGGGGAACTCGCATATCCTTCCTTCTCACGCCAGCAGCCTTTTTCCTTTTTTTTTTTTTTAAGAGATGCTGAAAAGTCCAAAGACTTCTAGAACGCAGGAATTCACCCTGGCGATGGGTAATCAAGGGTCAGACGCAGTAAGATTTCACTGTTCAAAGTCGGGACATTTGCAGTTGCAGCACTGGGCTGGCCCCAGCTTGGTGGCCCACAGACCGGGGCCACCTCCGTTCTCGTGTGGCCCCGCACCAGCCCGCGGACTCCAAGCAGGAGCGCCTAGTCGCCGGCGCGTGCGCGTTCCCGCATGCGCGCGGGTAGGCGGGGTTGGGGGGGGGGTTAGAGAGAGAGGCGGGGGATTCCCGGCAGCCAATGGAGCGGGGTGCTGCGCGCAGGAGGCGGGGCCGTGACGCACGTCCCTCGTGACTCCGCTCCGGGCCTGCGCCCGCGGAAGCCGGAAGCCGCGGCCGTTGGCCGACGGGGAAGCGTTCTTGGCGGGTTGGGGCGGGGTGGGTGCCCCGCGATGGGTACGGACCTGACCGGCGCGCGGCGGAGGGGGTCACCGCTGCCGCCGCCGCCGCCCCTGCTGCTGCTGCTGCTGCCGCTGCTGTGGTCGGATCTGATCCCGAGCGCGCTTTCCTCGGGCAGCAGCCCCAGCTGGGTCCGCCACGACCTCCTGTCGGAGCAGCAGTTCCTGGAGGTGCAGGACTTGTCCCTCACCCTGTTGCAGGGTGGCAGGCCGGGGCCGCTGTCGCTGCCCACCGATCTGCCGGACCTGGACCCCGAGTGCCGGGAGCTGCTGCTGGACTTTGCCAACAGCAGCGCCGAGCTGACCGGGTGCCTGGTGCGCAGCGCCCGGCCGGTGCGCGTCTGTCAGACCTGCTATCCCCTCTTCCAACAGGTCACCAGCAAGATGGACAACATCAGCCGAACTGTGAGGGTGGGTAGAGATGTACAACACCTCCCCCCACCCTCCCCCTGACCTTACCTCAAGCGTGAGGGTCGGGTCGGAAAAGGAGGAGAAAGGAGAAGGCTTTCTAATGATGGCTATACTAGGGTGTGTGTGTGTGTGTGTGTGTGTGTGTGTGTGTGTGTGTCTGGAAAGGAGGAGGCTTGTAATGATGGCTATACTAGGGTGTGTGTGTGTGTGTGTGTGTGTGTGAGTGTGTGATGCCGTGTGATGGCGTGGGGGGTGAGGATGTCAGTTTCCCCTTTGTAAGGAAACTGGGTTAGAGTTTAGGCCACCAGGAAAGGAAGCGACTTTGTAGTTTCAGGGATTTGGGTACCTGCTGCCGTGAGTGCTGTTGAGCCGGCTCCCTCTTGGTGGCTCCCTCTTGGTACAGATTTGCAGCTAGGTATGACGAGTCAGTTTTCTTGGGGGCTCCTGAGACTCTTAATTTTTCCTTCATCTCCTTAAACAACCCCTTCCAGCCGGGCCCCACTGGTCTGCAGCAGCTTCTTCCAGGGTTCACTTGGAGGAGTTCGCTCCCAACCCGGAGCTCTTACATTGGTGTTTGGAAGAGAGCAAGAGAGCATCTCCGATTCACCCCTCTCTCGCAGTGTGACCTCGGGTTGATGATCTTTCTACTCTATAAAAGGGAGAAAGACCACTTCCTGAGGTGGCCTTATGTAAAGGGGTTAAAAGATACGGTGTGGCCAGTGCCTCTTCGTGAAGACCGTGTGGACATAGCCTGCCAGGAGTCTACATCTGCTCTGGGCAGGTTCCAGGTGCCAGTGGGTGCACCTGGCATATGAGCATAGAAGGCACTCTTAGGAAACTGGCACGTGGTAGAACTTTTCAGTGAATGAGAATTTGAAGACATGTCAATTTGCCCTTCTTTCTTCTTTCTTGGCTCCCTGAGAATTTCTTAGAATTCTTGGGCCACACTGGATGGTGCTCAGAAGGGGTATATGCAGGGCCAGGATTTGAACTGGGGTTGACTGCATGCATGGGAAGGGCTTTACCCAGAGCTTTTTTGGGTCTTCTGCCTGAGGGCTTTAGCATAGAATAAAGAAAAGGACACATAGGAGCCTCAGGGGGGCTGAGAACAGGAAAGAATTAGTGTCATGGTTGGGGAGTCACAAGGGTTAGGCTTTGTGTGCCTGAGAGAGGAAGCAGGAGGTATGCATTGTGTGGGGGAACAGTGAAGTTCCGCTTGTATGGAGGGGACAAGTAGTCTCATGAAGATGTGACAAATCATAGATGATTTCACAAAATAGAAACTTGTAAATGATTGAGTCTTGGCTGGAGCGATAGCACAGCGTGTAGGGCGCTTGCTTTGCACGCGGCCAACTGGGTTCAATTCCCAGCATCCCATATGGTGCCCCAGCACTGCCAGGAGTAATTCCTGAGTGCAGAGCCAAGAATAACCCCTGAGCATCGCTGGGTGTCACCCAAAAAGCAAAAAAAAAAAAAAAAAAAAAAATTGAGTCTTGCTTTAAGACAGCCTAATACTATCACTCCTGGTGGTTCAGGGAGACCATATATGATGCTGAGATTGAACCTGGTTGGCCATATGCAAGGCAAATGTATTACCTGCTATACTATCTCTCCGGCCCAATTCCTAAACAGATTTAAAAGTTATTTTATTATTTAATTATTTTTAAAAATTGGGTCACACCCCATGGTACTCAGAGACTTCTCAGTTCTGTGCTTGGGCAGGGGAAATCATGGTGTGCCTGGGATTGAACCTGGGGCTGAGTGCATGATCAGCCCATTGAGCTTTATCTCTGCTCCTGAAAGCTACTTAAAAATATTTTTGGAATTTTTGGAGCTGGAAGGTTAGTTCCAGGGGTAAGGTACATTCTAATCTTTCTTGTGACTGGCTCTGCTTGGCTCCCCAGCACAGCACTTGGCCTTCAAGTACTGCTACAGGTAACACCTGAGTACCTTAGACTGTGGCTCCCTACCATCCCAACATTTATTTTCTTTGGAGATCCAGAAGTTAAATTGTTGCATATGTAGTTCTTTTAAAAAAATATTGAAGACATTTTATGTTGTTCTTCATAGTTTTTTCCAATTTATACTTTCACTAACAGTGCACAAATGTTCCCTTTCTTCACATCCACATTAACCTTTGTTTTTTTTGCCTTGGATATTAATTATTCTTTTTTTTTTTTTTTTTTGCTTTTTGGGTTATACATGATGGTGCTTAGGGGCCATTCCTGGCTCTACTTAGGAATTACTTCTGGCAGTCCTCGGGAGATCTTATGGGATGCCAAGGATCAAACCCGGGTTGGTTACATGCAAGGCAAACACCCTACATGCTGTACTATCACTCTGGTCCCCAGGATATCAATTATTCTGATAGGTGTGAAGTGATAGCTCATCATGGTTTTTATATATATCTTCCTGATGATTAGGAATTATCTTTTTACATAGACTTATTTATCTATATATTTCATTTAGGGGGGCTCCTAAGCAGTGCTCAAGAGTTCTGGGTGCCTTACTGAGTGAGTTTGCAGCTAACTGAGCCTTTGGTTCAGTACAAGGGCCTGAGGATTGTGTGCTGCTCCGGCCTTGCAGTATCAGGGGGGTACTGGGACCACCTCAGTAGGGCTTGGGGGCCTCCAGGACTGCACCCTTAATGGTTGGGGACTGTGTGGTGCCAAGAATCGAACCCAGGCTGGGCACATTCCAGGCAAGCTAGATGTACTATACTAGTATGTGCTAGTTTATACTGTCTGTATATTCTCTATACTATCTCCAGTCCCATAAGATTTATTTTAAAGCTTTGGTCTGGTAGATAAGTCTACAGAATCACATATCATTTGTGCCTTTTAATGCCATCTGTGCCAGTGAGGGGCATAGGGACATGGGAGGGGAAGAGCAGGTGTGGGGAGATGAATTAAGGGGTCTCTTGGAGTGGTAAGGGAGATAGTGGTGACTTAGCTACTTGGACCCTGTGTGAGGAGAAATGGATTGAGTTCAGAGGCATCTAGGAAGCACCCTTAGTAGCTTGTTGAATGTGGGGAGTGGGAATGGAAAGAAAAAGATTTTTAGGATTTTAATGAAGAGCAGCTTAGGGAGTAAAGTTCTTATTATTCAAATGGGAGTAGGAAGGAGCCTCTCTGGCAGAAATGGTAAGTTCGTTTTGAACTTGTTGATTTTGAAGTGTTTATGAAACATCTCAGTGGAGATATAGCATGTATGGTTGGAAGTACATGTCTAGAGATCGGAATTGTACGTCATACATTTGGGAGTAGTCAGATGAAAAATAACATTGGCACTTGTGGCATGGATGAGTTTTACCTGTACTTAGTGAGTGAGGAATGATAAGAGTTGAAGTTTGGGTTAAAGCAGAGCTTCCCAGATTTATGAGGCCTATTGCCCACTTTTCAAAGGGAAATATAATCACTGTCTTCCCCATCCCCAATTAACTAATCAACTTCTTTCAGAAATTGACGACCCCCCCCCACTCCCCAATTTTACTTGTTGGTTATTGCCAGCTCCAAGATGATTCCAGTGTGCTCCCTCTCAACTGGGGCCCAGTGTCTCCCAGAGTTAGAGGGAATATCAAAACAGATTGAGAAGGAGTAGTCAGAGGAACAGAAATCAGGAGTGTTGCACCCTGCACATCAAGGAGAAGGGAAGGGGTGATGATCTGTGTTCAGTCCTGCTAAGTAGGCCAAAGAGACTTTCTGCAGGGATATTGTACGAGAGCAGTTCTTGTGGAGTTCTTGGGGAAGGAAGACTAAATAAAGTAGGTGCAGGATGAGTAAGTGGGAAGAATGAATTTAGCTGTTAATGAGCGCTTGGCCTGAAAGAAGAGAGAGAAAAAAGAGGTACATAAAGAGGAATGTGGGATTTCTTTTGTTCTTTCTCTGCCCCTTTGTTTTTCCCCCCTTCCTTTCCCAAGATGGAAGGAACTGATCAAATCAACACATGAGTAGAAATCAGCAAATCCATAGGAATATTCTTACAAAGTAAAGTAAAAGTAAAGGCCCTCCCGTTGATCATCGATTTGCTCGAGCGGGCCCAGTAACGTCTCCATTGGCGACTTTGTTGTTACTGTTTTTGGCATATCGAATACATCATGGGTAGCTTGCCAGGCTCTGCCGTGCGGGCGAGATACTCTCGGTAGCTTGCCGGGCTCTCCGAGAGGGGCGAGGAATCGAACTCGGGTCGGCCATGTTGGCTGCGTGCAAGGCAAATGCCCTACCGTTGTGCTATCGCTCCAGCCCTAACTCTTACAAAGGTGAAGATATATAAGAAAAGTGGAAATTTTAACAAGGTCAGTTTCCTGAGAAGGCAGATTAAATGGGCTCTGGTGTAGGCAGCGAGATGAGCAGATCCTGAAAACAAGTTCAGAGTGAGATTGAGGGAAGAGGAAGTTTAAGCTTGATGATCCCCATCTCTACAGTCAGTGAACAAGAGGATTGGATCGCCTCTTGAGAATGAAAGGTGCGAAGGATATCAGGGTTTCAGGGATAGTGGAAAAGATTGCAAATACTGGCTTTAAGTAGGGAGGGAAAACAGGTAGGAAAGTAAGGAGTGCACTTTGGAATTATGGATTAATTGTGGAAATAAAGGTTGCATGAATCCAGAAAGATAATTCTGCTTATTTTATCGAATTGTTTTGAGGATTAGAGTTAGGGTTTTTTTTTTTTTTGGCTTTTTGGGTCACACTTGGCGATGCACAGGGGTTACTCCTGGCTCATGAACTCAGGAATTACTCCTGGCTGTGCTTGGGGGACCATATGGGATGCTGGGAATTGAACCCAGGTCGACCGCATGCAAGGCAAATGCCCTATCCGCTGTTCTATCGCTCCAGCCCCTAGAGTTATGTTTTCAGAGCACTTGTTCCTTTTTTAAAAAAAAAAAAAATAATTAATTTAGGCTTTTTGGGTCACACCCGGTGATGCTCAGGGGTTAATTCTGGCTCTGCACTCAGGAATCACTCCTGATAGTGCTTGGGGGACCATATAGGATGCCAACGA